GGGGTTTTTTGCTGTTTGTTTTTTTTGCTCTTTGTTGTGTTTCATAATAATCCATCTACTTCTGTTCTAAATAAAACTGGTTATTGCCTTAAGCCGTTTTTGTGATATTTTAAAACCTTACTGGTGTATTTTCAATGCTGTTCAGTATACAAAACTGCGCTTATGACGTTGCATTTAAACGAGCTGCACAAAAGAAATGGCGTTCCTACCAACATACAAGAAAAACATATGGAAGTTATTTCTTAAATATAGCAAAAACGACTTATAATACTATAATTTCCTATAATATAAAAATACCTGTAATCTGATAAGGCAAATGGTTTCCGTGGGTTCTTACTACAGGGAAATACGCAGTAGAATCAGGTTGACACATACCTGTACTTACATCTCTGATACATCAATCAACTCCCATACAGTTCCAGGGTCGTGGTGTGCTTACATCACCTAACACAACCAACAGTCGTAATGGGGGATTTATTACTGACGTACTGGTCAGCCTCGTGACTACCTGTATCGGACATGCAGACAGAATTTGCTAATGAGACGGTTATATTATGTGTTATTTAAACCTAACTTTTATATACATTTATTTCTCATTGGACTTTTATTTTTGTATTTATATACTTTCTTTTTTTTTTGCATTTATGGAGGTATAAACGTTAAACCTGTAATGTGCATACTGTGTAATATTGTTTATTATTCATATGGTAAAACATAACCAAATATCACATGTGCACATATTACTTTTGCCTAGCAACCAGTGTTTCTTCGTCTGTGACGTCATTAAACAACTGAACGTGACGTCAGTGAACTGGGCAGTCACACTTGCTTACCATGTTTTACTGCACAAATGCACACGAATAAAATGGATAATAAAGAAATTATTACACTTGCAAGTGTGCCACACGACTTATGCGAAACTCGTGCCAAATGTTGTATTGCCCGAGCTCTCGCTCGATGGTATGAGCAATGAGCTCTCGCTCGGACAATACACAATTTCCCACTCGTTTCGTATAAGTCGCATGACACATTTGCTCGTGTAATAATCTCTATGTATATTAATTTTATTGGACAATTCGTTTCAATTGCCTCGTTGTTTGCGTTAGGTCCATAGCAACGTAAGGCCATATGAGCTCATTGTCGATGATGAATGTAGATGACGTCATCACTGACGTCAAAACGATCTTATGTGACGTCGTTCTAACAATCGAGCAAATCAGTTGATGGTTAACCTTGAGATCAGGGAAACCCACTTTGTTCTAAATGTCTCATAAAACATTATTTGTTATGCAAATACAAATTACAATCAGAATATTGCTAGATCGGAAAAGACAGCAGTAACGACATGACATGCTACACACTGTGAGACAATATTTATCATTCATCATTTAGTATTATGAATTACTCTCGGTGAGCTTGTCGCTATGGCTATAGAAACTCTTTCAGTGCGAGCTAATATTTCTTCATATTCAACTTCGACCTCATACACAAAATCAAATAAAGCATAAATTTTACATTTCATACAACACGTCTTTTTAAGCCTCAAGAATACATGTGCCAAATGCTCTTCCCTACGTCTTTTGTGACTGTCAACATTTAGACAGGTGCGTGTTCTCTCGCTAACCCCTCAGTGTATCGTCTAGTGGTGCATGGGGCCGAATGCTCACCGTTCCACCTTGGTCAATTAAATGTACACACACCACAACAGCTTCAAATGAGTATAAAGGTACACACACCACAACACCTTCAAATGAGTACTTACACTGCCTCGTTTAGGTATACAGAAAATCAGTAACTCAGTGAAAACACATCGATATTCTACACATGGGTCGCAGTTGTCTGGTTAATAGCCGAGACATCTTAATGCAAATTCATATTTTATAATATATTCAAGAAGAACTGGTAGAACAGTCTTTTACCTCTGTTTCCCCCAAATATAATGGGTTGTATGAATGTCATAAACATGTGTTGAAACAAAATGTAACTGTTCGCATCTCTCCTCGTTTCAGAGTAAAATACATGCATGGTCTTAGACAAGGAAACTATTCTCTGACTGTTATGTGGCGCTGCTATTCACCATGTGACAATATTCCAAGTGTAGTACCACTAGGCTACCCCACCGCCCCTGCCTTTGTAGAGATTGGTGTTAGCTAGATGGTTTGTAAACTTAGTTAATTGTACAATACAATCGATAATTGCCCTGTAAATTGTTGGTTTGTTCCATACCAAGGTCTACATCCGGGTTACCTTTTCGTTTCAGCTTAATTATGTAGCATAACGACATCCCCAGTCGCAATAACTAATATATTATTAATAATAAATATCTGAAATAACAATTTTTTTCATTTGATTCATATCACAGTGGTATCTGTTTAAATTGAAACGCCCCAAAACGTAACGTCAAACTATAACAATAAGGTGTTTAAAAATTAACATATTCTGACGGAAGTGCCAGATGTCTTTCTGAAAAACAAACGCCATTTAGATTAAATTTGTGTACGGGGCTAAGGATTAAAGGTTAATATCATAGTGTATAAATATCTCAACTACCAACAAGATCACAATCATTTGCATTCCATATAATAAACATTAAACATAAACTATTTTGGGAATGACAAACTTTCCCTTCCGGCTGATCACGATTTGACCCGATGTTCGCTTGACCTGGCCGACCCTGTGGCGTGAGGACATTCCGTCGTATCAGACGTGTCTGAAACAGAACTAAAGATAAGGATTGTTATTATTTTAATTATGATCTTTTTAAACATAGAGTTGCACCTGAGGCGGAATGTTGACGCATTTTAGAAGCTGTTGACAAACTGCCATTGGTGAGCGAGAGTATTAAGATAGAGGGAGAGAGAAAAGGGGAGAGAGGGAGGGGGGGGGGGGATATTGCTGAGTCCGGCGTAAACTAAACTTACTCACTCACTCAACAACACCAGTGAGCGACTCGCGGTCTTGTACAAAAATTTGAATTATATGTTTTGCGAAAAATGTCACCGACCAATGTTTGTACTTAATACCCCTGCTAACCGTGGGTGGGAGGAAGACACTGTTGCGAGTAATTTCGATGTTTCACTTAATTCCGGGTTTCACGGCCTGTATATCGTGTCCTAGTTCTTCTGAACATACGTGTGTATTTTTGTATGTTTGGTCAATTTCTTCCGCATAGGTTTCTGTTGATAAAACACACAAAAAATCCAAATTCCACTAAAAGAAACATTATATAACAAGTTTTATGGATAACAACTTCTTTATTTTCGTGAGTGCGACGTTTCGATACAGATTCTTGTACCGTTGTCACTCTTGCTTGACAACGGTACAAGAATCTGTATCGAAACGTCGCACTCACGAAAATAAAGAAGTTGTTATCCATAAAACTTGTTATATATTGTACGTCTCAACGTCTAAATTGCCACTCAAACAAGTTAAAAGAAACATGATGTGATGACCAAGGGCAGTCTGACCAGCGTTCTACCGTGATTTACCTGAGGCAGGTGTTAATCAGCCATTAAGAGACAAACAAAGGTGAATTTCAACATCCTTATCTGGGCACGATCATATCGCTATCAGACCGAGGCTCCTCGATGATAGCGATATCAGAACGAGGTTATCAGAGACAAGCCGAATAGCAATATGTCTGACATGTTGATAAATGCAACCTAGCAATAAAAGTATCAAAATCGTTTTTCGTTGAGATCAACATGATCCATACTGTTGAAATTGTTCGGTCAGGGGTTTCACACTGCCAGCTGGTTCAAACGTTTCGCCGAAGGCAGGGGTTCGACACCTCAGATGGGTATTTGTGGTGTCTCCCGACGCGATATTGGTGGAATGTCCTGAATGCGGTGTATATAGTCAGATATTATAACTTATGACTTGACTGTGAATTGCTCTGTATAAAAAGACAGAAACAATAAGGAATTAGGATTGGTTTGTTTGTTGTTAAACGTTGTTAAATAACCGAGTCTGGACCAGTCAGTCCATCAGCAGACCTACGCAACTGGGATACGATGACAGATAAACTGATTCATCTAAGGCTAAACAATAACCTTAGTTCTCTGTTTCAGAGTTATTACCGTATTTCGCTAGACAGAACAAAATGCTGTGCCAGGAATGTCACCGAAAGTCACCACAGTTCATGGTCGTGTACCACACAAAGTCAATAATCCGCCAGATCACACGTAAAATGAGAGTGTCTGATCAAAAATCCCACCCGTCAAATAATTACGAAAACAAATTCATTATCCAAAAACAGGTTTCATTAGCAAGTGATCCTTGCAATGCCATCGCAGCCTGCTACCGTCGTCACAATGAGTAACCGGAGGGTTGCCATTGGAACACATGGGAAGGTTATTCCAGTCTTCAGCAAGAAAATTGGTAGATGGTTGCCATAGGAAGACATGGTAAGGTTATTCCAGTCTTCAGCAGGAACATTGCCGAGTTCCTGCAGCGATGGAACAGAGCATTAAGAGGACAGCCTGCAGTTCGTTCCACGTGTGTTAACAGGGTGGATGTCTGGACACCGAGCCGGCCACGGACAACGCGGACATTGGTCTCCTGGTCCAGGTAGACATTAATGCAGGATGAAGTCAAAATAATGATCGTTTGTTATACAACCTTTTTATTCGGGTGTCCAAAATTATGTGACAAGTCATCAGAGTTAGTCTGTCGATTGTTTGGTGCAATTGTTAGATTTTGTGTTAGTGAGCAATTCATCGGTCTTAGAATAGGTCGGGTTAGAATATTGACCTACAGTAACCCATGCTTGTCGTAAGAGGCGACTAACGGGATCGGGTGGTCAGGCTCGTTGGCTTGGTTGGCACATGTCATCGGTTTCCAATTGCGCAGATGGATGCTCATCCTGTTGATCACTGGATTGTCTGGTCCAGACTCGATTATTTACAGACCGCCGCCACACAGCTGAGTGCGGCGTCAAACTAACTAACTCACTCACTCATCGGTCTAAAATGAAATCAAACGGACTGTAGACATCCTGAATGTCGTCCCAGAAGCGCGCACCTGCCATCGTGCCCCTCTGTAGGACATGAAGATCGCCTCGCTACTGATCCATCCTAAAACACGTTGAATTCCCTCCACAGGGGTCATATTCGGTTCCGATGAAATCCACAAATCTTTCTCCTTGTCTTCGGTACGCTCGAGACGGACCATCTGTTAAGTCTAGACAGTATCTCGATTCATCAGTGAAAAAAACCCCGGGTAGGATATGTTGAAGATGTAAGCTATACATGTAGATCGACATTAGATGTCAGTCAGATTCACAAGTAGTTGCATCACCACATATACTACGAAATTACAACGAACGTGGTACAGTATTTACGAATAATGTACAAATAAATCGATTCAAGAAAAACGTTACTGGAAAGATGGATATTTGTGACGTCAATAAGCCCTAGCCGGTGGTAGAAACGACTACAAATCAAGATTTTGCACATTCATGTGAGAAGTGAAATATGCTGTCGCTGTATGACTAACGGTATTTCTCCCACACAGCACACGGAAGAAAGAAAGCATGTGATTACATCGGAAGAACCAACTTGTTAAACGTTATCAACATTTCCGAATATACATTTATCTACATCTGCAGGGACTGAGGCGGAGAACATCCGTGTTCGAGTTGCTCAACTTACAAATGAGATATGTTGTCAATAGTCGGTTAAACCCACTCACTCACTTAATGTAAATTGAGACATTGAAATTGAAATGTGTTTTCAGAAGCTCCGTAAAGTAGCACGATAACTGGCGTGTTAGTGAACTCAGTGTGGAGAAGAACAGCGATTAGAATACAACAGAAGTTTGGGTCTTTTCTTGTTTTTAACAGGCAGGAATCAACCAAGTCAGCGAGTCTGACCACTCGATCCCGTCAGTGGCCTCCTTCGACAAGCAAGGTTACTAAAGATCCATGGTAACCGGGATTTTCTCGAGTCACAGAACTTTCTACTCGGAATGTTATTGTTATTCTCCTTCTTCACTGACTGAGTATAGTTTTAGTTTTCAGCAATATCCCAGCAATATCCCAGCAATATCCCAGCAATATCACGACAGGGACACCAGAAATGGGTTTCAAACATTGCACCCATATGGGAATTTGAACCCGGGACTTCGGAGTGACCATCGAACGCTTTAACCACTGGGCTACCACTCTTCACCTCGGACTTTCCCCCACATTAATGGTCATCTAGCTAGGTCATGACACGGAATATCTATATGTTAACAATCACTGCGTCACGCCACAGACCCGGGTTCGATCCCCCACATTGGTACAATGAGTGAAGCCCATTTCTGGTGTTCCCCGCCGTGATATTGCTAAACTCACTAACTCACTTACTCACTCACTCACTCGCCCATTTACAATCAATGCATGGTTACTATCGAAGTGGCTATCTACATATACACTTGTTTACATTCTATATATTGTAATGCTAAACTGATACAAAAACCAGTCTCAGATGTAGCCTTTGTCTTTTATCAGATATAAAACAACTTACGTTGAATAAGTTTAATCTATTTGACCTTGCCGGTCAGCTCCAAACATCAGCTGACACATGTAGATGACCCGACAGGTGAAACGCCCCAGATCACTGACTGTAAACACGGGGGTCCCACAATAACAACACGGGGGGTCCCACCACAACAACACGGGATGCTATATATAGCAGGGAAATAGGGTCAGGTAAGGTCGGTGTACTTTACCTGGAACAAATGTCAGCGTGCATGGTGAGCGATTACCTCTTGATCCACACATCATGATATCCTATATAGTCCTGCAGAGGAAACTACAAGTTTTGAAGTGTTTAAATATCTAACAATGGCATAACAAGAATGGAAGAGTTTTTGAGGATGTTTTTTTCTCTCCATATTTTACCTATATTACGCTTCTCAAATTTGTTCCGTTAAATTACTCAGGTTTCCGTATTGAATAGTGAAGTTTGGATTTTATCACGACGGGCCTTGTATTTTGATCATGATTTGATCAAACTTTTTTAATTAATTTTTGTTAATGAGGATGCAAGCCTCAAAAGTCGGGATTAAAGTAAATTGTGTTGGTTTATACTGGTAAGCACTCACTCACTCACTCACTCACTCACTCATTCATTCATTCATTGATTCACTCACTCACTCACTCACTCACTCACTCACTCACTCACTCACTCACTCACTCACTCACCCACCCACCCACCCACCCACCCACTCACTCACTCACTCACTCACTCACTCACTCACTCACTCACTCACTCACTCACTCACTCACTCACTCACTCACTCACTCACTCACTCACTCATTCACTCACTCACTCACTCACTCACTTATTCCCCCACTCTCTTCTCCTTCACTCATGTAAACCTGAAGAATCTACATTGATTTGTAAGAAGTTATTGCATGTAACAACGCAATGTCTCACTCCAGAATGTACATTTTTAATGGATCCGACACGCCTTAAATGTCATAAACAATCTGTTCAAAACATTTTTTTTAAAAGTTTCTACACTCGTGATTAGTCCAACGCTCAACTGTGTAAGACTCTTTCCATAGGCGTGTTTCACTGTGAGTGTATGTGTGTGGTGGGTCTGTGTTTCACTGTGAGTGTATGTGTGTGGTGGGTCTGTGTTTCACTGTGAGTGTATGTGTGTGGTGGGTCTGTGTTTCACTGTGAGTGTATGTGTGTGGTGGGTCTGTGTTTCACTGTGAGTGTATGTGTGTGGTGGGTCTGTCTGTGTTTCACTGTGAGTGTATGTGTGTGGTGGGTCTGTGTTTCACTGTGAGTGTATGTGTGTGGTGGGTCTGTGTTTCACTGTGAGTGTATGTGTGTGGTGGGTCTGTGTTTCACTGTGAGTGTATGTGTGTGGTGGGTCTGTGTTTCACTGTGAGTGTATGTGTGTGGTGGGTCTGTACAAGACCATGACGAGTCATGGCGTCCAGCAGGTCAGGTCGAAGTGACATAACTAGGACAGAAACACCAACTTGTAAATATGTTGAGGTTTTCTGGAAATGAGTGAGCGAATGAGTATAATTTTACGCCGCTTTTAGCAATATTCCAGCAATATCACGGCGGGGGACACCACAAATGGGCTTCACACATCATACGCATGTGGAGAATCGAACCCGGATCTTCGGCGTGACGAGCAAAATGCTTTAACCACTAGGCTACCCCACCGCCCCTGCTGGAAATGATGAACTTACGAACTCATTACTGGAATAGTAAAACGTCGGCAGCTCAAGCAAGTGAATGGGTATATTTTCACGTCGCTTTTAACCATTTTCCAACAATATCACAACGGAGGACATCAGAATCAAACCCGGGTCTTCGGTGGGTAGACGAGCGAACGCTTTACATATTTTGCTAAGCACCGCCTCTCATTATCTCGAAGCACTGGGTTAACAAGACAGCGAGTTACCCGTAGTTCGACACATGATGGGTCTCCACATCAGTTTACCTAAACGAACGACCAATGGCGGTAACGATCCTACGTCATCATGGCGAACCCTGGGACTCGAACCCACCATCACAGGTTTTTGGGTGCACGTGAGAGAGGCGGGGAACGGCCACAAGCCCCACACGACAAAAGCCCATTGGTACAAAAGCCCCTCGACCAAAACCCCTCTCGACAAAAGCCCATCGCTAATTTGAGCACCCCTGTCAAAAGAACCTCGATTCTTGTATTTCATAATAAAACACTTGTTTCAAATATTTCATAATAAATAATTGACTAACAAACATTTCCCACAGCCATCATCGGGCTTTCCAAAGGAGATAATGGGTATCTTGCAAAACAAACACATTATACCTATGACACTGTGATCAATGTATTCTGCAAACACATATTTCTCACAGCCAAACTCAGGCTTTCCCAAACTCTACAACTGATTAACTTGAACCAGGTGGCCCTGAACTACTGATCGAGTTTATGGTGTTCGAGCTAACGACAGTTCATAATTGTCATCTTAGTCAGTACTTTAAGACATATGTGTATTCGTGGTCTAACCTGCTTCATGTTTGCTCCAGACAGTAATTATGAGTTACCGGGAACCGGGGAATATTTATCGCGGCCCGTAACATGGTAAAAGAAAGTGAATTCACTCTTGTCTCATTCATATACATTATATCGTCATTGTAATTGCACTGCCACTGCTAGTGTATATACTTTATATCGTCATTGTAATTGTACTGCTAGTGTATATACATTATATCGTCATTGTAATTGTACTGCTAGTGTATATACTTTACATCGTCATTGTAATTGTACTGCCACTGCTAGTGTATATACTTTATATCGTCATTGTAATTGTACGGCTAGTGTATATACTTTATATCGACATTCTAATTGTACTGCTAGTGTATATACTTTATATCGTCATTGTAATTGCACTGCCACTGCTAGTGTATATACTTTATATCGTCATTGTAATTGTACGGCTAGTGTATATACTTTACATCGTCATTGTAATTGCACTGCCACTGCTAGTGTATATACTTTATATCGTCATTGTAATTGTACGGCTAGTGTATATACTTTATATCGACATTCTAATTGTACTGCTAGTGTATATACTTTATATCGTCATTGTAATTGTACTGCCACTGCTAGTGTATATACTTTATATCGTCATTGTAATTGTACTGCTCAATACCTATTCTACCCCGGATCTTCACGGGTCTCGTCATTGTAATTGTACTGTCACTGCTAATGCATATACTGTATATCGTCATTTTAATTGTACTGCTAGCGTCATTTCAATTGTACTGCCTCTGCTAGTGCAGATACTTTATGTCGACATTGTAATTGTACTGTCACTGCTAATGTATATACTTCATATCGTCACTGTAATTGTAATGTCACTGCTAGTATATATACTTCATGTCGTCACTGTAATTTTACTGCTAGTGTATATACTTTATATCGTCACTGTAATTGTACTGCTAGTGTATATACTTTATATCGTCACTGTAATTGTACTGCTAGTGTATATACTTTATATCGTCACTGTAATTGTACTGCTAGTGTATATACTTTATATCGTCACTGTAATTGTACTGCTAGTGTAGATACTTTATGTCGTCATTGTAATTGTACTGCCACTGCTAGTATGTATACTTTATCTCGTCACTGTATTTGTTCTGTCATTGCTAGTATATATACTTTATATCATCACTGTAATTGCACTGCCACTGCTAGTGTATATACTTTATATCATCACTGTAATTGTACTGTATATCATCACTGTAATTGTACTGTCACTGCTAGTATATATACTTTATATCGTCACTGTAATTGTACTGTCACTGCTAGTATATATACTTTATATCGTCACTGTAATTGCACTGCTAGTGTATATACTCTATATCATCTCTCTAATTGTACTGCCACTGCTAGTATATATACTGTATATCGTCACTGTAATTGTACTGCTAGTGTATATACTTTATATCATCACTGTAATTGTACTGCCACTGCTAGTGTATACACTCTATATCATCTCTGTAATTGTACTGACATTGAATACTGCCACTCTATTATCTATTCCTCTTGTAGTCAGTTGGGCACAATGTGTACTGAATTTTCAATCTGGTATTATTCCAAAGACGTGTACAATGTGCCCTGCGTTTGTTGTGCTTGAGAAACTTTGCATTTGGCTATCGGGACTGTCTGTTGATCAACACAACCTTTCATCCGACGGGTTGATGTCGGTGATGATATTCACCACCCGTGTGCCACTGTACGTGTCCTTCACCTCAGACATACGATCTATTTATAAACTTCTTCAGCTGTATGTCAAAGGTGAAGAATCTGCACTAAACCAAAAGAATGTGGATCGAGAGTGAAAGCCTATCTCTACATTCTCTAATTTGAATCCGGAATTATGGAACACCAAGAGATGTTAAAATGCATATTGTCTCTACAAACAATTTCGATCTGTTATTGGCAGATATAAGATAACTGAAGTGTACAATATCGATATCCACGCATACACACGAGTGTACATGCAGATACCATGACGAAGCTCGCACCCCTTCCCGCCCGTCTGTAGAGGTGCCTGTTTGCGCAAGGTAGATATATATATATGGTTATCAACCAATATGTTTTCCCCAACTAGCGTCCATTTCCAACCTTGGCCCACAAGCTCCCCCGGATCCACCTTGTATTTACGGTCGAGCTATAAACAGACCGAAATCGGTCATTCACCTCAAAACACATCTGTTCCGTACAAACAGAATGGCGATCGTTCTCTCGTTATAACGCGTTGTCTATACATGTTTGCATCGCCGCGGACTTGTGTATAACGGGGAACTATATCAAATCTTACACATATCCGTCATTATGTTGCATATGTTAATGCGTTATAGTGAAAGTTGTTGCGTAATAGCGGGGCATATATAGTTATGATCAATGTCACGGTTTGGTGAAATAGATATGCGTTTATTGAGGCAAGGATTTCTGGTCTTAGAAAATAAACAATGTTTTCCCAACAATGTCCCTTCGACACAACAGACCAGATATTTACGACATCTGCTGTCTAGTTGTGTTTTCCCCTGACCGCCACCGGAACCAATCAATCACGTGACCGACTGGTTAGAGCGTTGACATTAACGCTATCAGTGGGGATCGTGCCATCAGTTCTCCGGTTCGTGTGATGATGTATGAAATATATATATGATTACAACTTACAAACATGTAAGTGGTAGTAAATATTACATGATGTTTGGTCTCAGTCATAGCTAGTTTTAACCAACTGTCTCAAGTGAGTGAGTAAATTTGTTGAGGTTTGCTGGAACTGAGTACGGCTTCACACCACTTTTAGCAATATTCCAGCAATATCACTGCCGGGGACACCAGAAATGGGCTTCACAAAATGTATCCATGTGGGGCATCGAACCCGGGTCTTCAGCGTGATGAGCGAACGCTTTAACCACAAGGCTACCCCACCTCCCCCAATTATCTCTGCAGACTTGTTCTCGTCACTATATGGCTGGAATAATGCCGATGGGACGTAAAGCCCAACTCAACTCAACGCAAATATCTCAAGACGGTTGTCTAATCCTGCCTACACTCCATGCCGATCAACTCTAGAAGGGAGCTGGGTTATATACATGTTTGTTTGTTTGTTTGCTTATCGCCACACTCAGCATCATGAAGCAATATCATTATCACGGCGGTCCAACCAAATAATAAAACATAATCGGGACTTGACCACACATTCTTGTGATTTTCATCGAAAGCGTCGGTCCAGCGCAATCGAGATACGATCAACCAAGTCAGCGAGCACCTGATCCCGTTAGTCGATTGTACGAGTCACTAGTTGTTGGAGAGTACGAGTCACTAGTTGTTGGAGAGTACGAGTCACCAGTTGTTGGAGAGTACGAGTCAAGTCACCAGTTGTTGGAGAGTACGAGTCACTAGTTGTTGGAGAGTACGAGTCACCAGTTGTTGGAGAGTACGAGTCACCAGTTGTTGGAGAGTACGAGTCACGAGTTGTTGGAGAGTACGAGTCACGAGTTGTTGGAGAGTACGAGTCACTAGTTGTTGGAGAGTACGAGTACGAGTCACGAGTTGTTGTTGGAGAGTACGAGTCACTAGTTGTTGGAGAGTACGAGTCACCAGTTGTTGGAGAGTACGAGTCAGTCACCAGTTGTTGGAGTACGAGTCACCAGTTGTTGGAGAGTACGAGTCACCAGTTGTTGGAGAGTACGTTGTTGGAGTCACGAGTTGTTGGAGAGTACGAGTCACCAGTTGTTGGAGAGTACGAGTCACTAGTTGTTGGAGAGTACGAGTCACCAGTTGTTGGAGAGTACGAGTCACGAGTTGTTGGAGAGTACGAGTCACAGTTGTTGGAGTTGTTGGAGAGTACGAGTCACCAGTCACACTAGTTGTTGGAGAGTACGAGTCACCAGTTGTTGGAGAGTAATGAGTCACTAGTTGTTGAGTACGAGTCACTAGTTGTTGGAGAGTACGTTAGTTGGAGAGTACGAGTCACTAGTTGTTGGAGAGTACGAGTCACCAGTTGTTGGAGAGTACGTTGTCACTACTAGTTGTTGGAGAGTACGAGTCACTAGTTGTTGGAGAGTACGAGTCACCAGTTGTTGGAGAGTACGAGTCACCAGTTGTTGGAGAGTACGAGTCACCAGTTGTTGGAGAGTACGAGTCACTAGTTGTTGGAGAGTACGAGTCACTAGTTGTTGGAGAGTACGAGTCACTAGTTGTTGGAGAGTACGAGTCACCAGTTGTTGGAGAGTACGAGTCACCAGTTGTTGGAGAGTACGAGTCACCAGTTGTTGGAGAGTACGAGTCACCAGTTGTTGGAGAGTACGAGTCACGAGTTGTTGGAGAGTACGAGTCACTAGTTATTGAGTGTCATTCAAAAAACGTTAGTGCACTTGTACTTACCGCCACTACATGAAATATTATTCACATAACTAAGTGGGAAACAACTAGACCGAATAGTTACGTCGATGTACACTAAAGTTTATTGGAAACTACACGTGGAAATGATCGTCACACTATTAGATATATTCCAGCTTTATCCACCCGATCCACCTTGACCGGCATTAATCTCGAGTAACATTGGCTTAATGGCGCTGGATGTTACGGTTCTAAACATTCCGAATATTCAGATATTTCCCAAAACACAAGAATATCAGGCAATTTGTAAATGACGTATATTTTCTCATTTATTCTGGTGCTCAAGGCACAGTAACAAATGTTATATTTGGAATTAAACTTTCTCAACACTATTGGACTTGACGTGTGTTTTTACTTTAATGTGAGATTGTAATCAAATACCTTGTAAATGGTCGTATTTATAGTATGCTTTAGGGACAGTGACATATGACGCCAATAGATGTAAACTTGTTTGCCCCCATGTGTAATGGGGCGATTGGTGACGACATTGTGTGGTGGGCATATCGCCCTGTAGGCGACCCCATCCGCCTTGCTGATGGTTAATATATATATATATATATATATATATGTATATATATATAGTAAGTGCAACGCACTATCGCAACAAAACACAACACCATTTGACAATCAGTGCGAGGAAAAGGATCAACACATCTTAGGAGAAGAAAGAGAGGTGAGGTGAAATTGGGTTTTACGTCGTGCTTGAGAATATTTCGCTCATATGACGACTTGCATGCGTGTGTATGTGTCTGTGTGGCTGCTTGTACTAGAGTGCTAGCCCACTGAGATACCACGCCACAGTGAAGCATGAATACCCCACTCAGACACATTATACTGACTCCAAGCCGACAAGTCCTTGTTGTACCCATTAATGCCGAGCGCCAGGCAGGGACGAAGAAAGAGAGAAAATAGTAGCATAGAAATGCCTCGTCTTTATTTTTTTATCATATCAGTTCTGAAATCAAGGATAATTTTTAAATACATCTATGTCAATTACTCGGGAAACCTAAATCTTACATCAATAAGCAATGTAGTTTCAGTTTAATTTACACAAATATTTTAATATCTATATATATAGATATGTCACATATTTGGGAAAAGGGGGTCGGTGAAATCTATGCGTGATATAGTGACCTTTGGTCGGAAATTTAATTATCTTTGTGAAATAAAGCTCTGCGTGAGACGCTCGTTAACACATTCTGTTCTGACGTGCACTCTGACGCCGGTGTGGGAACGTCAATAGCGCTGCAGTAGAGAAAGTACGCCAGGACTCGCTTAATAAAACTGACCGATATAAACAACTTGGGTCTTCACTGGGGTTTCGGCGAAACATATCGCAGATGAAAAGATATCACCTGTCATATGTTGATTGCAGGTGTGTCCTGGTTGTCAGGTCACCGAAATGTACTTGGATCATTGGAGGATATATTCATAAACTGGGCTATCAGTGTTGATCTCGCACCTGCAGTGGGAACTCGCGTCGCTGATCTGATATTGACTAAATAGTCCCCAGAGCGTATCATGGCATTGTTTTGTTTTATTACTGTTTAATTGACCTGTTTTTCATTCTGTTCCCTGTCATGTGTACTTTTATTATATTTACCCTCTGTTGGCTTGTTTCTGATATTTTCAGAGAAATCTATTCTCTGTACTCTGTTGCAGGGCGTTATGTTGATGGTTACTGGACTAGTTGACTCATGGGGATCGCTAAGATGGTTGCTTTGCCTGAAGTAGACCTGGCAGTTACTTGGTCGCCCTTTGCCCGATACACCTCGAATATTGCCGACCATTACATAAAACAACATACATTCACTAATAAACCCCAAAATGCACCGCAAGTCCTGGTCATGGTTAAAATGAGTATTGGACGTGAAATACACCCTGCCTGCATTGTCACTCCGGTTTCAGGCCTATGGTGGGGGGACGAACGTACACAGTGAGCTTGAACAGTTAATAATTGAACTCATTAACCGACATTTACTCCCCCCGCTGACCACACTGCACTGACCATTCGTGACCGCTGTGTAATTCCGTAACACCTGATCGCGGAGATGGGCACTATGAACGATATTACACAGTGATTGTGTCGTGTGTATATCGACAGGTCAATAACCCCGGCAGGCCATCGCGTCTGTTGTTGGTCACTGGCAGTGTAATATATAATTCAGCTACAACGCTCCAACTGACCGATATTCCATTCTTACAGTTCAATAATTGATCTCGATGACAAGTAAGTAACAATCTCGCCTTAATTATATACAAGTTATGATAATAAAACTACTCTGTCGTTTCCCATAATGTATATTGGAAATCCTGACGCCTATTGTGAATTGTATATACGTGATAAAACGGAATGTGGGTATTAATTGGACACGGCAACGGCCACTGATTCCAGAATGTGTGGGTCAAACTATTTTATCAAAAAGCAGCAGAGATGCGGTCAGGTATTTGCATTGAATATACATTAATTTAGAATAGATTTCCTACAAAGTAAACTTATATATATTTGGAAGGACAAACGTTATATTTTTGTACATATTTGGTATGACCTTTTCTTCATCATGTTCTTTAGTAGAGTAATAAAATGTGAGGAATAGAACACGTGGTGGCTGTTATATGGCGTCTTTACTTTGCTTTCCGATGCACTGGCGTCTTCTCTCTTTACTTCTCCGATGCACTCAGTCTGTGTCTCTCTCTCTCTCTCTCTCTCTCTCTCTCTCTCTCTCTCTCTCTCTCTCTCTCTCTCTCACACGCACGCACGCACGCACATTATATGTTATAAATATATATCATATATACAAATGTGTGCTTTGTGTGCGCGGCAGTGGGAAATATATTATTGGAATATTACCAAATAACACTCATTTAGAAAATGGAATGCTCTGTGTACGTAGTTATTTGTTTATTCACAAGTTGAAACAATAAGTTGACAGAGCCCGTGAAAAGATCTTTTGTGAACCAACATCAGGAGGGAATGTGATGCTAACTGTGTATTGTAGAAGTAATGAAGTTTACTATTCACTACAAAAGGATTACAAGTACAAGTACACCGAGGAGGAAGTACAAGCTGGAGGGTCGGTACAAATACAGCAGCAGTATATGCTATTCAGAAAACGTTGGGGATAGTTAACAAACGTGTGTCACAACTATTGATATCGCATATATATAATGGGATAAATAGACAGCTAGTGTTATTTTATATGTTTGATGTTGAAGGAGATAAATGTTTTAACTATAGGACGGGGACACCTGCATTGGTAGTTGACCGTCAAATGCCAATTTGGTTTATTCCACATCATTCTTCAAGTACCACGTGTACCACCAGGATGTTGTCACGGCTGTACTGCTCAGCACCACGTGTACCACCAGGATGTTGTCACGGCTGTAGTACTCAGCACCACGTGTACCACCAGGATGTTGTCACGGCTGTACTGCTCAGCACCACGTGTACCACCAAGATGTTGTCACGGCTGCACTGCTCAGCACTACGTGTACCACAAAGGAAGTTGTCACGCTGTACTTCTCAGCACCACGTGTACCACCAGGATGTTGTCACGGCTGTACTGCTCAGCACCACGTGTACCACCAGGATGTTGTCACGGCTGTACTGCTCAGCACCACGTGTACCACCAGGATGTTGTCACGGCTGTACTGCTCAGCACCACGTGTACCACCAGGATGTTGTCACGGCTGTACTGCTCAGCACCACGTGTACCACCAGGATGTTGTCACGGCTGTACTGCTCAGCACCACGTGTACCACCAGGATGTTGTCACGGCTGTATTGCTCAGCACCACGTTACCACCAGGGTGTTGTCACGGCTGTACTGCTCAGCACCACGTGTACCACCAGGATGTTGTCACGGCTGTACTGCTCAGCACCACGTGTACCACCAGGATGTTGTCACGGCTGTACTGCTCAGCACCACGTGTACCACCAGGATGTTGTCACGGCTGTATTGCTCAGCACTTGTACTTCAGCACCACGTGTACCACCAGGATGTTGTCACGGTTGTATTGCTCAGCACCACGTGTACCACCAGGATGTTGTCACGGCTGTACTGCTCAGCGACAAATAACATGTCAAGATGTTCTGCCAGTTACAGTGATGAAACATCACACCATTATGAGCCACCCCAAACGATCCTGGTAATGTATGCTATAACAGCCGACTAAACGGGGCGATGGTCAGACTCGGAGATGTGGTTCTTGCGTCATCGTACCCGACAGAAACACACACAATCATTCACGCACGCACGCACGCACGCACGCACACACACACGCACGCACGCACACGGGCCCACACAATGACGTGCTACACCAACAGACAGTGATGACAATACAGTACAGCCTGCAGACGGCATTTTGCTATCAGGAAGTCTCGAACGGCGCTGCTCTGTAAAACATTGGACTGATGTACTGAGGTCACAGTGACCTCGTGAATTGTCATAAACCAGTCAAGACTGGCCGTCTGATGGCCGTTACAAGGTCTTATTGACAGAAACACAACCTGTGATATGCAAACACCATGATGATATATGACAAACTTCCGGAATGTGACAACGTACTTCCTGTACTAGTGCATCACGGGAAGTGCACACAATGCCACAATTCCTGGGTCAGTCTGACACCGGAACCCAATATACGCTTCTGCCAAGGCAAAGTTTAAAATGGCATCTCATTGTGTAAGGGTTCTTTGTTCTATCGCCAGGACGTGCGTACCCTTGTTGAAACCCAATCATTAACAGCAATCCATCTGCCATTGCTTACATGACAAGTTGTCAAACGAACAGGGTTTGTCTGGGTGGCAGGTCAAAAGTTCGAAAGAAAAAAACATCCACCCAAAAACAAAAAAAGGAAAACAAAACTATTGTGAAAACCCACCGTGAAACCATTACTTCAAAAAAGGTTAAAAGAAGCACACGCACACGCGCACGCACACGCACAAAATAAACCCATTAACAACAAAACCAAATAATTGTTTCATCGGCATTCTAGA